TCCTTCGATAACACCTGATATTACCCCCGGTTTTTGCTTTGGATTCTACCTTTGATATCTTCCGCCTATTTCTAATAAAGTATAAAAAAATATATTCATTGTATATATTAACTAAAAGGAGCTAAAAATTTGCGTTTCCCATTAACTGCACACATTAGAAGCTTTCATTACAAATGCCTTTTGCCGCATGACCGTATATTGTTTTTGCTGTAATACAACGCTGACTTTTCCAGTAATAGGGAATTTTTGTCATAGAAAGGAAAGTATAAAGATAATTAAACAAGAAGGGATTGCTGTAAACAAATATTTATCTTTCATTCATAGACACCAACAGTTGTGTTTATTTGCAGTAGAACCAAGGGAATATTCATTAAAATATCAAGTTTTGAACAGTTAATGGAATTTTGAAATTATATGCAACATATTGGCACCAATTTTCAGGGATGCAAATAACTTAATTAATATCTAACATATTTACCATAATTAAGAAAAAAAATAGTTTCACGGTTTTAATTCACAAGGATGTTAAATCCTTGCACTTCAAATGAAATCGTTATCTTGTATTTTTTTTGGTGAAAATTTGGTTTACCTCACGGGACATTTATGGAAGAATCATCTAAAACAATGGTAAAATGTGTCAAAAAAAGTAATTTGTTATATTTGTTTTTCGTTATAAATCAGGCCGCTAGTTTTCTCGTTTGCATTGTTTCGATATGTGCATCTCAGGGTTTTTTATAACTGACTATACTGTATGGGTTTTCCTTTTGGTTGAAAGACGTTTGGTGGCCTATTATAGCTTTCTAACTCTATATGTGGATAGTTGTCTCCTTGGTAATCATACAACATCTCATCATTTTTATATTTAAGGGCAATAACTACCAAGGAGTCGATAAATAGTTTTAGTAGTATCTATAACAGTTTTCAAGATAGCAGCCAAAAATGAAACAATTCGTCAAAAATGATCATTTAAGGGCAATAACTCCTCTTAGGAACCAATTTATGCATTTAGTCGAATAGACATTTTTTGTAGTTTTTGTATTGTTGATCATTAATCCCTTTTTAAAGTTTCTGTTTATTGACAAAAGTGCTGAAATTGGTTAAAACAATCGTCATTTAAAACAATTACTCCTATATGGAGGCATCTGGTAATTTTTGTACAAATGGAAAGTATGTATGTATTGACACAATCACCATTAAATGATTGATTGATTGTTGGTGTTAAACGCCATTTTCAGAACTCTTTGCTATATCGTGGCGGCCAGTTTTTATTGGTGGAGGAAGCCGGAGTTCCCGGAGAGAATCACCGACCTTCGATAGGAGACTGTCAATCTCAGTCAATAATATTTAAATTCAAAAGCAAACAGATGAAGTCCTCTCTAAATAATTCAGTTTGGTGTTTATATAGCTCCTACCATATTCAGGTATTTATATATCAATAGCAATAAGCATTCCTGATGAAGATAAATTATGAAAAGGACTTCGAACGCACCAAGTTTATAAGTTATTAATTACTTTATCGAATTTTACCAATCTAATTGCGAATTTCACTTGCTATGTACAATAAGACGGATACCACCAGTGGAGCAGTATCTGCTTACCCTTCCAGAGTATCCGAGACCAACCGTTTTTTATGGGGTTCGGGTTGCTCAGTTTTTAGTTTCCTGTAAAGTGTATTTGAGACTGGTTTTGTTCTTTCGGTCACGATAATCTGGCAATCGAGACACACCTATCATACGGAGCACAATGTAATACACCGTAACTTTATATATAACTGGCATCAATATGAAATGATAGAAAAGAAAGGATATGGGGTATCCATTCATTACACAAAATCAGTATATGCACAGCAAAAAACATAAAAAGCAAAGAACAGCGCTTTTACTGCTGTTCTTCATCTCAAAGTCACAGTGAGGCCTTCAACACGGAGCAAAACGACTTTCACCTCACTGCAAGTCTAAGATAGCCCCTAGCACCATTTTAAGCGGATTCTTTGCAAACTAGGGAACATGCCACAACTGTGAATTGAAGAACAAAGCCATGAAGTAATATATATAAAATAAATCTGGCAAAGAAATCAAACAGTTGTCAACCTCTTACTGGTGCTGGAGTAATCCACGTATATATGTGTATTTTGGTGCTGGTTATTGTGGTTTGACATTGATATATGATATTGTCCGTTTTTCTTCGACTAATAATTTTAACTGTCCCTTGGTAAATCGGATCCTGTCTCTTCATTAGGGTCTCCCGAACGTCTATCATACAGAATAATAATAATTATTAAAAAAAAAAAAAAGCACGAAACAATATACTCGCCTTGTTGTTTCAGAGATTTCTGAAAAATTGCCAAAATCGTAATCATAGATTGCCTCAGATCGGACCCAAATGACGACAGTTTGTTTGGGACCTTTCAAACATCATAACTGCCACATTTAGTAAAAATTGCCAATGAAGATCTAGAAGAAATGATAAAATTGGGTTAAATATGACCACGTACAAAGTCAATACCACCATTTTAAAATGAAGATCGTTTGCGGTCTCCATATCATTATCCTATAAAGTTTCAAAACTTGTCGACTTTTTAGTATCGGAGAATTACTTTGAAAATAAATGGTTAATGTGTCCATGGGACACAGATGATGCTCCCGCTTGCATATAACGTTATAAAGGGACATAGCTCAAGAACGGTAAAAAAGTGACACCACCCAAATTCGAACTTGATCCGAGTTTTGTGGTAATAAGCATTGTGTATAAGTTTCATAACATTTGGTTGAGGCAAACTTAAGTTAGAGAACGGAAACGAAAAATTCCGCAATTTTTCCATTTGTAAAAGGGCATAACTCTAGAATGGTAAAAGTGACGCCACTCAGATTCAAACTTGATCTGTGTTTTGTGGTAATAAGTAGTTTGTATAAGTTTCATAACATTTGGTTGGGGCAAACTAAAGTTAGAGAACGGAAACTAGTTTTGGGACTGACGGACGGACGGACAAGAGAACTGATGAAAAATTCAGCAATTTTTCCAGTTGTAAAGTGGCATAACTAGTCTAGAACGGTAAGAGTGACGCCACCCAAATTCGAACTCTATGTTTTGTGGTATCGAGCATTGTGTAAAAGTTTCATAACATTTGGTTGAGGCGGTGGTATAAAAATTGGAAAATCAATTTGACTGAATCAAAGATTACCTCTGACGACCAATTTTTCATCTAATCGGATTTTAACGAGAATAGTTTGTAGGGGAACCTCCAAACATCAGTCCTGTCATGTTTCAATACTTGTCGTCTTGTAGTATCAGAGGGCACACCAAGATCAAAGATGGTCTCTGGCGACCACGTTTTCCCTCAAATCGGAACCAAAATGGACAATTTGTAGATTTCCTTCCAATTTTTGGTTACAATTGGTCAAGTTTTTCCAGATGAAAATCTAAAAAGTTTACAGACGGTAGCAATATATGACATGAAGGGAGATGTCACGTTTTAGGAGGATTTCTTCTTGTTCTGGTACAACCATGTCTATGTCTTATGTCTTACCTTTTTATCTTTTGTCATATTAAAATTTATGATTTTGGTATGAAGTTGTACAACTAGTATTATATTATTAAAGCCCAGTTACATAGTTACCTTCATGTAACCTTGACCTTTTACTTAAATTTATTTTTTGTTGTCTTGTCCAGGTCATACCATTTTTATCCATGGATACATACTTTTCATATTTGGCAAGTTGGTGTATCATCCCAAGCCCGTGTGTTGCTTGCTGCAATTTGCCTTTGACCTCAAATAAAATTAAACGTTTTTTTTCGGTAGGGCATTTTGTGTTTATCCTTTGACAGTCTTATCGGTACATCATGCTAAGATAACATGTACGTACAATTATAGTCTGACCTAGACTTTTGACCACCAGTTTATATTATTGATTTTTATGAAATTTTCGTGTGTTTTCAGGGCCATTACTTTTAATCATTTGACATTTCGATATGTGTATAACATCTCAAGTGGACGTCTAACATACTGTTTGTATATGACATCTGACCATGTAAAGATCAAATAATTTTGTTTTGTTTCGTTTTTCAGTCTGGGCCATAACCTAATTATCCTTAGATCGATTGTTGCTTGCTTAATGTCCAGTAGCAAATATTTCATTCATATTCAGAAGAAGCAACCATTCTGCAAGGTGGAAGAAGGAGAGAAGAAGGAGTGGGGAATCTGTACTCCCGCTAGAAGAAATATAGGGTAGGGGCAGATACTATGCCATGCAGCAGGCCATCTACTGACCCCTCAGTTGTTGTAATGGTTCTTAGATATGCAGAGAGAATCTTAATGAGGCATAAAATATAAAGTCACCATTCTTACCAAATTTATACATCCCAGACAGCTAAGCAGAAGCCCTATTTTGGCAAGGGTTTTACTGGCAGTCTAAGTAGAAGATCCAAGTTTACCGTAGGGTTAAAATATATCATTTGACACATGTAGGCTCTTGATAGTTGACTTATGATTAAAACTGTAATTACATCATGTTAAGACATCCTGTCATGCAGATTTTTTCAAGTCAACTTATTTTTCCCCACCATATATACAATTTTAATTGATTATTTCCTATAATCATCCTGGCTTAGTATCTTCTAAAATAATCCCCACCAATTAATATAAGTGCCTTCTGATACTCCCTGTCAAATCAATTCTGTAAAAAGCCAACCAGTTACAAAAAAGGGACAAAAAACATATAAAATATGGGGAATATGAACTCCACCAAAAACCAAGAAATTACATCAGGTTGTCTGGAACGATAATGATATCCTTCTCTGTATGAGCCATCCACCAGTATGAAGAAATATTCTGTTAAGGTTTATTTCTTTGTATTACACACCTGAATAATGTGTTAATGCAGAAGCCAAATTTTAAGCAAACAAAGAACATTTTTACAGCTTTTCAACAGTTTAATCCTATTATCTTAAATATTTACATAATAATATTTAATGGCAAATCAAAGACTCAGAGTATTCACAAATTAGAGAAATATGTTTAATACAAAACGCATTTGTAACACTTGTAAAACAAATAATATTTAAATTGTTAAAATCAAGCAATTGACCTAAATGCAGACTTAAAGGCAAAAATAAATGAATTCACAGTATTTTACCAAAATTAGTCCTCAACAAATAATCAATCCATAATATTTCACAAATTATTGTAAAATTTGGTGATTTTGATAATATCGAGAAAGTTATCTCCCCCAAATTTAACAATAGTTGCGCAAACGTTTTCTCTCTGGCAAAATAACCACTTTTTTCACCTGCAAATCAGTAATTGTAGTGTCTTCTTTTTAATATATCACTAAGAACAAGACATAAATCTACAGTAGTGATTTTCCTAGAAAATGAAAAAAAAACAACTTGCATATTTAAGAAAACTTATAATACAGACTTATACAACAAGCAACAGAAAAAAAAAATGCCAACCAAATTGCAAAAGATTTATATGAATGTTAAAGACTGACCCAGTACTTATACAAAGAGCAATATATACTTTCCCCACATACATTTCTGAAAAACTAAAATAGTTTAACAATTAGCATGATGAGAGGAAAATTACAATTTTTCAGCCAATTTGATTTTTTAACTTAATCATTGTACATGTTGTAAGTGTTATGGTTCTGATAGCAATTAGGGAAAGTAATTTCAGTTTTCAACAATTTAAAGAAATAATGATTATGTATCTTTTATGACAAATGTGCAAATAAATTGCAAAATTATAAATACCAGTGCTTGTGAGCACTGGAGGGTAAAAATTGGATTCATTTTGCAGTCGGAACTAAAAATTAAACTTAGCTTTGAATTGAGCATTGGAAAAATACTATGAATTGGTTCAACTACAATTATAAACAAAGAAAGATAACTCCAATTTTAAATATCATTTTAACAATGATTTTATAACAGTCACATAAAGATTTTCATTGCATGAATGCAATCTATACTCCAATAAAAAACCAACAAAATATATCAATGACAGCAATATGTACCATAAAAAAGAATCGTTTACACAATATTTACATGATACTGAACTTTGTTTGACATACATGTATTCATCTATATATACAACAGTCACACTGACAATTAACCACATGACTTTTAAAAACTTGGCAAAATGAAACGAACTCACTACATGATCCTAAATGCAAAACTCAATTAGAGTAATTTAAGTTTAAATATAGGTCATTATGAATAGAAATATGTCTGAATAAAGGCTTAAATATTGTAAATTAAGAAAAAAAATTGTAAGGGTATCATCAGAACCCAGTGTCTCGCCTACTTTTGCTGTTGTCTATGTTTTCAGTGTGATAGGGGAATGCACATAATAGATTTACAGTTAATGAAATAAAACGTTTGAAATGTATGAAAAAAATATCATGTTTCACAAATTTTATAAAAAAACGTCCTTTTAAACATTTTTTCTGCATCTAAACCATGCTGTGCATATTTTCATTTAATTCATTCAACATAATGCAACAATTATTTGCTTTTGGCAGATTTGTCAAATTTTGTGGAAATATTTTTAGTGTAAAGAGAAAAATTCAAATAACTCAGTGTTAAAAATATGTAGGACTCACTGAGAATGAAATGTCAGAACATTTCATAATTTTACGTTAAAAGTGGAACAGAAAATAATGTATGTACTGAGTAATACTATTGCATATTTGACTTGTGCCTGATTTTTATTAAATAAAGAACCTGAGAAATCTGAAATTAAACTGTTCAGAACCTTTAACAGTGATAAAAATTAAATCTCTGATTGATTCCATATTTAAACCAATATAAAATGTTGAAAATACATATATAATGTAAATCTGATTTGACATTGAGCAATACCCCATTCATTGATATATACTCCATTTACTGATCAACATAATAGTAAATCATGTGTTGCCAACTAAATCTGACTTGACATTGAGAATAACCTCCGTTTATTGATCAACATAATAGTAAATTGTTTGTTGTCCACTGTTAAGTAAAGTTTGTATAATGGCAGGATCCAATACAATATTTTCATCCTCTGTATGAATCTGCACTTCTCCAGAACTATCTTCCCGAACATTTATTATCTGTACCCCTCCTTCGTTGTCCTCCGATGTTTCTATCTTTAAATGTATCTCCTCATTCTGGTCATCTTCATCCATGTTTTCCTCTTTAACAACCTCTTTATTAAACGTTGTTGCATTTGATAATGCAAGGAGATCTTCCACTCCCTCAGTATCTTCTGTCATGATCTGAACCTCAATCTGTTCTCCGCTAGGCTGAGGTATCATTACTGTTTGAAATCGTCTTCTCCTCTCTTCATACATTTCCCGAGCAGTTTCCATTTTTTTCAAGAAATCTGGATCTTTCATGGATTCAAGATTTGAATCAGGTAGAGTCAAAGAATGGACGTTTCTTAAGTGGCGAATCAAACGACTTTTAACTGCAAAACTCTTAAAACAAATTGAACATTCATACGGCTTTTCATTATTATGCCTTCTCATATGTAATCTAAGATCGGTAGTGCTGCAGAATATGCCGTCACAATCCTCTAATGGACAATTATATATCTTCCCAGCTCCTTCTAAGTGAGTCATATCCCCGGTAGCCACAGTGTGTTTAACTTTATGTCTTTTCTTGTGTTTATACAAATCAAATTTCTTCTTAAATGTTTTATGACACTCTTCACATTCAAAGGGTCTATCATCAAAGTGAATGGCCTGATGGGATAGCATGTTGCCCTTCTGAGCGAAGCCTTTACCGCACGTTTCACAAACATAAGGTTTAAGACCAGTATGCACACGGAGATGTATCTCCAAACCTTTTTCTGTCGCAATTTTCTTGGAACAAATATGGCATTCAAAATCTCTACCAAAAGGATCAACATGTCTCTTAGCATGATATAAATAGGCATCACGTCCTTTAAACCTTTTTCCACATTCATTGCACAGGTATTTCTTTATGTTCAAGTGAACTCTATCAACATGTCGCTTTAAATTATTTTTTGATGAACAATATAAAGGGCAATGGGGACATTTTGCTACAGGGACCTTCTTCATATCTGCATGGGCATTAGAATGATCCGTACAATCTAAATCCGTTTCAAACTTCTGTCCACAAATACGACATTCTCTATCTGGATTATTTGCAGGATGTTTTTCCAACATGTGGTATTCAAGTCGATCTTTACGTGTGAATATCGAGTCACATATTTCACAGTAATTTGTTTTCTTTCTCCTTTGTGTTATAAGACCGGGATGATGTTTATTCATGTGCTTTCTTAAGTTTTTGTGTACAAGGAATTTCATATCACAATGAGGACATTCTACATCTTTGACTCCTGTATGCCACTTATTGTGATATTGTAGTGATTCATTTGTAGTAAAACAGGCTTCACATGTTGGGCATTTGTATTTTTTTTCCTTGTTGTGAATGATTCTGACATGTCTGTTGACATGAGAACTTTTGTTGAACGTCAATGTACATGTCATACATTTGAAGCGGTCACATTTTTTGCAGAATGGAAGCTGTTGAGTAGATTTTCTTGTGATATCTTCTTCACCGTGATCACAATATTTGTAGTATGATGGAACTTTCTTGAAAGTTTTGGCTCTAGATCGATTATTTATATATTTTGGCTTTCTGTATAAAGCATTCTTTTTTACCCTCATACTTGTATCATTATTGTTTGTTGTATTTTCATCCATATCGACCTCATCTTTACTTTTATCTGCTTCTTCATTTGTCTGAAGATCTCCAGTTGCACCTACCTTCTCATTTTTCTGAGCATGGCTATTTTCATCTTCTACTACTTCTATCTTAACATGAACTTCCTTTGTCTGATCTTTTTCATTCTTTATCTTCTTTTGTGTTGATTCTGAAGTTTCAGGATTTAATTCCTGCTTTCGTTTTCTACCTCTTGGTTTTTTAATACTTTCCTCTTCATTGTCATGAACCCCTTTATGTGTTGGTTTATAATCTTGATCTTCATCGTTTTGCTCCATTTCTTCATCACTTTCCTCTTGTTGTTCTTCTTCCTCCTCCTCTTCCTCTCCACTATCTTCTGATTTTTCTGGCAGTTCATCGATGTGGAACTTTTTCATGTGTTGAAGTATACCACATTTATGGATAGCTTTTCTGTGACATATTTTACAAACATATGTTTTCGTTCTAAGAGCCGACGTTGATTCCAGTAATTTCTTACTAGGCGTTCTTTTTCTTCCTCCCCGTCCTACAGATGTGAACAGTTCTGAAGGAATTATTTCCTCCTTTATGTCATCTTCAATGTAATAAATATAATTGTCCCATCTAGAAGTTTTAATTGTGTCTGGAAACTTTTCAAGAGTTTTGGTACATTGTACAAGATTTTGTTTATGTTCCTGTACAATATGTTCTCTTGCCATACGATGACTAGAAAATCTGAGAAGGCAAATTTTACATTCTAAATTCATTCTTGTATTTTCTTCTTCAACAGTTCGGATAAAACAGTCCATATCTTCATCAGTGTAACTAATTTTAGAATTTCTTTCAGTTTTGCTTTTTTTATCTACTTCAGTGACAGTATCTTTTGGTGAACTTATTCCTGTATTTTTCCTTGGTCTACCTCTACCACGACTAACAACATCATTGCTTTCATTTTCCACTGGTTTTTTAGGTTCTAGAAAAGGGTTTTTAATTTTTGGAGGTCTTCCTCGCCCTCTTTTTACTCTTGGAGTATTAGTGATCTCAGAACCATCATCACTGATATCCCCAGGAGGATCAACATAATCAGAGACGTTAACCACTGTTTCAAAATCACCACAGTTTTTCATCATAAATTCAACACTTTTTTCATCTTTCACTTTCTTTTTTACATCTACCAATTTGTCTGTTACCTTCGTTTCATCTGTATTTTCTTCCATTGTTTCATTATTTTGATGTTCAATCATGTCTGATGAAGAGTTATCACTATCATATACTTTGTGGACTATTTTACATCCATCCTCTGTGTTATGCTTATTTTTCATATGTTTATTCAAATTTCCCATTGTTCCAAATTTTGAAGGACATTCTTTACAAGAGTAAGCTTGTAAATTCTTCATTCTCTCTTTTTCATCCAACTTTGCTAATTTTTTCATTATAACTGATGTTCTTGGAACCCTTTTTACAGGTTTTATTTCCACCATCTTTTTTTTAATGTTTTTATCTCTTTTTACAGGAGATTTATCTTCTGTTTCACTGTCAGTTTCATCATCTAATTCCATCGCAGTATCTTCTGACCTACTATGTCCTCCTATTTTGGACGTACTTTCTTCAGAGATTGTAGTTTTCTTACCTGAAAATACATAAATTATAAAAAATTTTAATTTAATAATTCATGTATTACAGTAGACTCCGGCAAATCGGATACTCATAATGTCAGCTAAAAATATCCCATTACCCATAGATAGAAAGACTTCAGAAAAGAAAAATAAATCATTTTTTTTAAGAAAACTCCAGGTTTGAAAAACTGAAAAATTTCACAATCTGCGCTAAATGAACTTTGCTTGAAAACAAATTTTAGAATTTCCTTCCTATTCATTTATCTAGGCACTCCTATCATCCAAGGCAGTTTTAACCATGAAAGATCTTGGGTTCACTCAAGATAATGTTTGGTAATGAAAAGTTTGAAAGTCAAAGAGAAATGTTTTTCAAAGAAATGTAGAACTTTATATTTTTCATGCACAATATGTTCTAGATATTAGGTATATAGTAGGATGTAAATTATTTGTCCAAAATTTCAATCATGTTTAGTTGTTGGTGTCATTAAAATCAAAGGTTTGCTGCAATTTCACAATATAACTGCTGAAAATCATACATGTAGATTACAGTACCATGAAATTTGCAATCACTTGAGTCTTAAAGTGCAAAAAACTCTTTTAAACCTACAGGCTATGGAGAACAATTAATTTTTATATGGTACATGTATCGGTACATAGCAATTTTCTGAAAACAGCCCCTGGCAATTCCAGCTGTTAGGTTTACATCCAATTAAAAATGAAAACTAAATTAAATTTAAATACAGTTTTGTTTTTGAAACAGCAAGGGGCTTCGTCTTGACATGAAACTGAGCTGTTGGACAATGTAAACCAGTTCCTTATACTATGGATTACAAATGTATCAAGTTTACATATTGGACGATTGAAGATATAAGTCATGATTACTTGTATAAACAAATTTGTAAGATTTGAATTTTTTTTTATAAGGTTAGGATAGTCTCCCCTTAATCTCCTCCTAAAATTTATTTATGCAAGTAATTTTTTTTTACGGTCCTTTAAATTCTCAAGTTTTGGGAGGTCAGAACATGCCTCAAACATTTTTTTCTGATTTGCTAATAATAGAAATACAACTAAATTGAATATAACTAAGAGACTCAAAGTTTCTACATTACTCACCAAGCTCATGTATTATTGCCTGATATACGCACTAAATCTCTTATCAGCATTTACTTGAAAGCAATATAATCATGGCTTTCTTATAATGATGAGTTGGTATATTGTGTGCTTTTTAAAAAAAAATCTAAAGACAAAGATAAAGTTATAAAATCCTTACCACTGACAACATTGCTGAATTTTTTAACCACATCTGTATTATGTTGTAAGAACTTTCTTCCTTTGTCTGATGAAAACTCCTTTACTTTAGATGTACTTGGGTCTTTAAACATCAAAACAAAGTCTTTTCCAATTTTTGGACTCTGAAAATAAAAAATATGTGCTATCAATAAGGCAGATGTTGAAATAAGAAATATATACATTTGTATGAAATAAAACATTTTTGTAGTGCAATAGATAAAATGAAAAAATATTTAAAAAATTTGTTTTTAAATGTAATCACTGACTGAAAGCATGACTATATCATCTATGATTGTTTATTTGGTGGTGTATAATGATATTTTGATTGTTGTAGATTTGTGCTATCTATAACAGTCAACTGACTCTTGAAAAGTGTCAGTCTGGATAAAATTAAAAATGTATGAGTGACATATGCTGTAATTTTACAATGACCATCCAAAAACAGGATATAGTACTATTATGTTTGACATATACATTTATATATGATTGCTTGTTGTGTGCTTTAGGTCCAGTGGCAAATATTTCATGCATGTTTAGGACAGGAATTTTTCCTTGCAATAGGCTACCCACAGACCCCTCAGAGTTGTTACAATGGTTATTTAATGTGCAGAGGGCTTGGCATTCAGCCTTGGGCTGTTTTGTGCTCTTTGGTCGGGTTGTTGTCTTTTTGACACATTCCCCATTTCCACTCTCAATTTTATTCATTCATTTACATATATATTTGAGATCACCCCAAGTTTTTTGGTGGGGTTGGTGTTGCTCAGTCTTTAGTTTTCTATGTTGTGTTTTGTGTACTAATACTATTGTTTGTCTTTTTCTTTTTAAGCCATGGCGTTGTCAGTTTATTTTCGACTTACATTTGACTTATGAGTTTGAATTAAATGTCCCTATGGTATCTTTCGCCTCTCTTTGACCTGAATATTCAAACATATAGTTTATACAACATTTTAAGGGCATGAAATATATCTGATATATTTTTGTGAAAGGAATATATCTGTCATAATCTACAAATTAATTTTATATGGCGTTTTCATAGACCTACTATTTTCTGCAGGGCTTTCATCAGGATTTCTTGTGCTTCTTCTTCTGTCATATCATTTTCATCTTTTTTTTGTTCTTCTGTCATATCATTTTCTTTTTCTTTTTGTGCTTCAGTCTTATCTTTTACTTCCTCTTTTTGTTCTTCTGTCATATCATTTTCTTCCTCTTTCTCTTCTTCTTCCAAATCCATTTTCCCCTCATTTGTTTCAGTGTCTTGAGTACACAAACCTGTTCCACTTTCATCCATTTGAGATGTTGATGTCTCAGCAGCATCCTGTTTCATTTCAGATTTACATGTACTATCAACATCAACTGACTTTTCATGTAATTCAGATTTGCTTAAATTTTCAGATGGTTCTATTGTTGTATCATCACTATTGTCAGTAGTACCAGTCTCACTTTTCTCTTTTTCAGACTTTGTAGAACCCTTGTTGGATTGATTTGATTCTTGACTAGATTCATCCATTACTAACACACCTGGTTCAGAACTGTAATAGTCTAGGACAGAATTTTGGACATTTTTTGAACAATCAGCGTCCTGTTCCGTAGATTTAATATCTGTAGGCCTGTCTACGAGGATGATAATATTTTTTTGTCCTTGTGGATTCTCAACCTCAATAATTTGCTCGCAATCCATAGTATCGATTTCTACATTAGGAATCTGATGTTCTGTTCCTTCTTCAACATTAGGAATATGATGTTCTGTTCCTTCGTCAACATTAGTAATCTGATTTTCTGTTCCTTCATCAGAGATCTCCATCATTTCACACTACCTTGTACGGACATTCCTACAATCAAAATGAACATATTTTAAAATATCTGACAACAAAGGGATTTTTTCAAAAAGTAAATGATTGAATATGATTTTATTGCAGCTTTCATTGATATTAAGTTATATTTACTACCTGTATACCACCTCACTCACAAACTGAAAAAAAGTACTTACAAACATTAAAAATTATTAAAAGTTGCCTTTAGAATTTCACATCAATCCTATTTCCATGCCTTACATGGCCAACCTTTAAATGATTTATTTGCAATTTAGAAGTGAATCTTGACAAAATTAAAGATCTCCTCGTACACTTCCTAAAGTACTATTATTTTGACTTATTTGTACAGTAGGTAATAAATGTGTATTTAAAAGAGAAGGGCAATATTAGTAATTTGGATAGTTTTAAATAATCAACCAAAAACAATGTGTATGAATTCTTTTTACAGTAGTTATCAGTCAGGGGAATTACTGAAATAAGTGATTTATAAAATCACTTATTTAAGGTAGCACTACAGTCAGAATTTTCTGACTCCAACCAACAGTCTTTAAAGATTAATTTCTCCAAAACTACTCAATGGATTTTAAAAATCTTTAACTCATTTTAAAGCTGAAATATAACTCTTTCTTAATCTATAGATAAATTTATTTTTGGTATGATTTATCTCAAAATATAGCCCATTAATTGCCAAAAAAGTGGTCTTCCAACTTGGATGAAAATGGCACATTCAGGTCAAGTGGTAGTAAAAATTTGTTTTCATCCCTTTAATCAACCATTCACAATCTACAAAACCGTGTCTCAGATTTTTGATATATGCCTCCAGTAATAAGATATATTACTTTTACTGCTGGATGCCAAACCTCATTTCACCTTTCATCTTTGGAGACCTATAAATTCATTAAGAAACAAATTATCCAAAAACTGGGACACGGTATTGTAGAAAATACTCCCTTCAATCACATATATCAAAGTCAAGCCAAAGGGGGTACCCATAAAGTTTCTATTTTCATTTTTTCCTTACAATTCTCATGAAAAATTGTTCTGAGAAATGACCTTAAAACTGAATTTCCTCTTAAGAACCCCTATAAATGCCACATAAATACAAAAATTCCACTGGGAACACCCCAGGAGTGTTCTGACACCATTACTTTATCAATAGAACCACACACATGGTGTCTTTGATGCTCTAATGCTGTCAAATTTGCATTTTGTGTGCACTGTATAACACTAACTTGGCATTTGGCGGAAGTTTGACGTCACAGATTTGACCAACATCTGTGATGTAGTAATTAAATAAAGACAAAGCTCCGCCTCTGTCCAGACAGTATAAGATAAGAGAATAACAGGATTGGCCAGCTGCATCATAATTAATATTTAACATCATTATTCTCACTATAAAGAATAATTTTCATTTGAATTTTAAAAAGAAATATAATATGACCATGATGACTGAAATTAGCTAAAATATTAAAATTAAAATACATGTCCATAAAAAGATCAAGACCATCCCCTTCTTGAAAATAGACTGTCCAACATGGTTACTGAGTTTCATGGAATTAAAAAATTTCACATAAACTTAAAATTAGTTAAAATGCCTAAAATTATTTTTAAATCTAGAAGACCAAAGACGAGAAATTTATACAGGCAGTCAGAGGCTTTCAAAGATACTTTCACACTCTTTTCCATAGTTTTTTTTTTCATTTTGGTAGATTTTTTTCCTATTCATATCTTTTTCTTTTTCTCTGTTCTAAACTTCCATGTTTTATAAATTAGTTTTGTTGCAATGCAATGAGATATTTATCTTGTGGTCAGGGATTAACCGCTGGACACTGGTACCAACAGATGATTGACATATTAGCCCCTCCCAAATGCCTATATATTTAGATTAATTACATGTGCTTTTATTTACATACGTTCATTATCAATTTACTCCCTGTTGTGATATGATAATGACTTTGGGATTTTTACAAACTGTGCAGAATAATACTTACTTCAAAATTATGTGATAAAAAAAATATCTTCAAAAAATCATTGTTAGACTGTAGTGCTACCTTAAGTATCAAATTCGAAATTTTGTCACAAATTGTGATTTTGTAGTTTTACCAAAATTTTAAACATATAGGTTTAGATTATATCTTATTATTAGTAAAATTGAAAAAAATCAACCTTTTGCTTCCTTGATGCAGTCATTTAGCTGTAAATTCTATATTTGTTGAAAAAATGCTATAATCAAGGCTTTACATAATGAACTGATACTCTCTTAACAGATTTTTCCCAGCAGTGGGAGTATTTTTCCTGTAAAATTCAAGGTTTCATCTTACAGATTATGTAATAAAATTTTACTGTTCGCGATCAAAATTTCACTGTTCGGGGGTGTTTAAATTAATGTTTTTTTTTTAAAATAATAATACTTAAAGAAGTGATTTTTTGGAAGAAAATAGAGGTATGATACTTAAAACAAGTGATTTTTATTTCATTATCCCAGATTTAGTACAAGGGTCATCACCTGACATGACCGGTCATCCTTTCAATACAGATGTTGGTTCTGATAATTTTAGCAACATAGTTAGTCCCTGGATCATTAGTATTGTATATTAAAGTTACAATAAAATTAAAATCACTTAGTCTAGTGATTTATTTGTACTACTTAAATAGGTGATTATCAAAGAAAGACAAGTCTTACTTCCAACATTTGTGGACACAATGTTACTTGAATCAGTGATTTAGAAATCATTCATTTAAGTAAGTCCCCTGACTGGTTATATCCTTGACATTTGAAATTCATTATGCATACAGAAGTTGACTTATATAAATTGAAATGTCAATTTTTATGGGATGAGTCATTTTGAATATGCACGAAATATTTGCCACTGAACATTAGGCAAAATACAATTAATCAGTTTTTTTGGTTGGTAATTTGGTGAACAGACAATTTCATATGTTAATCATGTAATATTGGATTAGAAACCAATAAAAAGTATTCAGACCGTTGACCGAACTGGTTGTGTGGCCAAAACATCTCGAAAGCTAATTTTACAGCTTTATTTCAGGTTATTTTTGTCATTCAAGGTACTGCAGGGTAGTAAAGAGCTTCAAATCAGCTATCGAACATACATGTAGTTTATATGTGCTCTTTCTCCTGTCGACTAAAAGTCAGAATTGTTATTTTCGACGTTGAGATACGGATACTACTTCGTTTCTTTTTCTACATAACAAACAACTGTAATGTTTGTATTTACTTTACAGTCGACGTACCTTCCAAAATCTGTAGTTATTTTAACATGTAAAACACAGACTCAAAAGTTGCTTGGATTTATAGAACGGTAGCTAATATATATTTTCACTAGTGCGACATACATGAATGTGTTGTGATGAAGAAACTAAGCAATCTAAACAGATAGAGGCCAGATATTCTACTCCTGAATTTGGATTTTTCGTAAATGTTCGTCGCCATTTTGAGAAAGCCAAGAACAGGAATTGAGTTATTGTTCGTGTATGAATGGTCATTCGAATATACTGATATAATCATTATGTAAATTGTGATATCATAGTAACAAAAGCGAGACACATTATGATATTTCTGATAATCAAAAAGAGATTGATATTAATACCATAAAAATAGCCACAAAGGTCAGAATAAGCGCGCATATGGTATCCAAACCGGAAGCAGATGCGCCCATTGTATCTAGCTCTAATCCGGAACGGTTACGTTATCCCGTAATGTAACAGTGCAGTATCAAAATGGCTTATTTTTTCAGTTTAATCAGAGACATATAATACATATGTCTCTGGTTTAATCAAGGATTTGTATAGTAAGACTATACAAATCCTTGGTTTAATTGTGCTTCATTCTAGTCTATATGGCTAAATTATATTATCTCAAACAAAGGCCCAATACCTCATATAATTTTCTTTTAAAGATATCTTTTAAACTTTATATGATATCGTATAAACTTTATAATATATCTTATATAAATTTATAAGTTATCTTCTAAAGTATATAAGATATCTTATTAAGTTTATAAGATATCTTATTAAGTTTATAAGATATCTTATATATTTTATACGATATCTCATATATTTTATAAGATGTCTTTTATTGTTAATGTTTTAGATAAACATGCCCCTGTTGTAACCAAACGGATAAAAAATAAATATCAACCAGAGTGGTATACAGATGAAATATGCTAATCAGTTTACCAGAGAGATTATTATCATAAAAAGAAAGATACGGATAATTATAAGAAATATCGGAACCTAACAAATAAACTGATTCGTTCTTCAAAATCTAAGTATTTTATGGATGCCATCAATAATGATAAAAACTGTAAAACTCTATGGAGACATTTAAAAGATCTTAACTCTACAACGAATCATGATATTGATATGATAACATACGAAGATAAGAATCTTACGGATAAAATTTACATTGTAAACTGTTTAAATGATCAGTTTAGTTCAGTGGGAGAAAAACTTATTCCACATCCCCATTCTAACTTTGAATCAGAGAAAATAAACAATTATGTGAAATCCAAAATTAATGATAACACGTTGTTTTCACTGTATACTGTCACAAATGGTGATGTCTTTAAATATCTCACAAATCTAGATATTAATAAATCAACCGGGACCGATGGAGTTGGCCCAAGAATATTTAAAGTATCAAAATCAATAATTGTAGATTCTCTTACTCATATTATAAACCTTAGTTTATGTACATGTATATTTCCTGATATTCTAAAGTATGCAAAAGTAACTCCAATTTTCAAAGCCGGTAATAAGGATGATCCTAACAATTATCGTCCTATCTCAATTTTACCTACAGTGTCCAAGATTTTTGAGAGGACTGTGTTTAAACATTATATTCATTTTTAACTAAATACAAACTACTAGTACAACAACAATCTGGATTTAGAGAAAAACACTCATGCCACACAGCACTTATCAAAATAATTGACAAATGGTTAGAAGAATTTGACAAAGGCAATTTCACTGCTGTTTTATTTTTAGATTAAAAAAAACCATTTGATACTGTTAACCATAACATCTTATTATCGAAACTTAATTTATATAGATGTGATGATCACTCTGTTAAGTGGTTTTCGTCCTACCTTTCAAATAGATTGCAAAAGGTTAAAATTGGAACAACTGAATCAGGATACAATAATGTAACATTCGGGGTCCCACAAGGTTCCATATTAGGACCTTTATTATTCTTAATCTATATAAATGATCTCCCGTTTACATTAAAACACACAGAGTCTGAATTATATGCTGATGACACAACTTTGCATATATCGTCTAAATCTATTTCAAACTTAAACTCTTGTTTAAATAAAGACTTTGAAAACGTAATTGAATGGTGTGCTGAAAACAATATGATAATAAATAACAAGAAGTCCAAATGTATGCTTATGGGATCTGAGAGAAAACTTGAGAATTGTAATGATGTCTTGTGTGTATTATCGCAAAATCAGACTTCATTTGACAATGTGGAAGTAGAAAAGCTTCTTGGTATCCATATAGATAAAAATCTATCATGGTCAATTCACATAGATAAAGTATGTGAGATTTTTTCAAGCAGATTATACCTGCTAAATAGATTTAAACGATACTTGCCTCGCAAAGGTCTTATCCTTTTTTACAATAGTTATATATTACCAATAATTGATTATTGTTGCACCATATGGGGTTTTACCGCAAACTGCAACATTGAGCGGATTCTTAAGCTGCAAAAGCGTACAGCAAGATTAATTTTGAATAAACCTTTTGATTATCCATCAATATCAATGTTTAAAGAACTTAATTGGATGACCATTTTTACACGGATAAAATACTTTCAAGCCATTTTAATGTTTAAATGTATGAATGGACTAGCGCCAGATTATCTTACTAGTAAATTTACTGCGTGCAGTGATCTATATAGTTATTCTCTTAGGTCAACAACATCTGGACATCTTCATTTACCAAGGCCAAAGTCTGAATACTTCAAAAAGACTTTTCAATATTCTGGTCTAATTATTTGGAATAGTTTGCCAAATGTTATAAAGGATTCAAGTCATATCGAAAGCTTTAAGATGAAATGTGCTAATCTTTTTATCACAAAACAAAATGAGTAGACAAACTTTTTTTTTCTTAGGACATTCTTGCCATGCTAGTTCTACAGTCTGTTTTCATGCTTGTGTATATAAATTTGTAATTGTGTACATCTCTATTGATTATTGTGTTATATGCATTGATTGTTATATGTACTAATTGTTCATTTTGATGCTATATGTATTAATTGTTCATTTTAATGTTATGTATTAATTGTTCATTTTAATGTGTGAAGGCCTCGTGTGAGATTAACAATTGTATGTTAAATGAGTTACCTTCGTTAAATAAAGAATTTATTATTATTATTATTATTATTATTATTATTATTATTATTATTATTATTATTATTATTATTATCTCATATAGATAATAAGATATCTCATATAATTTATAAGATATCATATAAACTATATACGATATCTTATAAACTATATAAGTATCGATCTGAGATTTTATTCTTATGCATACATGTAGAATATTAGACTGTGTCTGATTTTAGAAGTAATTTCAACTTCATGTTTTGATATGATTAATTTCATTGCTACAAATGGATGCTCAATATTTTTAATTTTTATTTCTTTTAACAAATTCTTATTTTCACTTGGACTCATAAATGTTTTTAAACGATTATATGTATCTCGAATATTGTTACTGTTATCTTATACAGCTATATGAGTAATAATCTGATTCTTTTATGTTGACAAAGTACTTTTCAAAAGTAAATATCAAAATTCATTATTTACAAAGAACCGGCCAAATAACAAATTCACCATATTGCCGGCGCTGGCAAAACAGCCCTTGCTATAGAAATATGCTATTTTGCCGGCTTTAATTAAGATATTTTAATCAAAGCCGGCAACACTTGCCATAATTTTACATGCTCTATTTACCAGTCACATACTTTTTGGAAATCAGGTATACATTGAAATATGCGGGAAACCGTTTAGAAACATGATTTTTTTTAATAAGTTGTATTTACCTTTGAACTAGCTTTTGAGTAATGGGACGAACATTTAATTCTGGCAAATTTGATGAGGTCAGACTATTTATTTCCAACTTAAAGGCGACCAGATTATTTATTTCACTCAGACCGTGGCCAGAATATTTATTTTCTGCGTGTCCAAAAAGTGACACAAAAACTTCCCCTCACCCATGAATCAATTAAATGGTCGTCCCCTAAACTAATTTAAATTTATGATACAGATCACTTTTTGGTTGGATACACATTACATTGCCATGGTTAAGATATCAAACATAACAATCAGGTCGGATTTAAGGTGTTTGAAAAGGGTTACCAAAAATGGAAAGAAGTTTGCCGAGCGTAGCGAGGCAAAGTGTTTTTAGACAATTTTAAGCAAACCATATGTATATTTTCCGGTCAAAGGGTTATGCTGTCTATACCTCATTGCATATTCCACTATTTCTTAGTAAATTTGGCGAGCGGAACGAGCCAAAAATATTTTGAATATCTTAAATATCTTTTAGCCAGTATATTTATTTTTGTGTGTGATAAAGCAAGATTATTTTTTTCCAACTTGATGGGGCCAGAATATCTATTAACAAGATCTCCCAGGTCCCCACCTCAGAATCAAAATGGTTGCCCCCTAACTGTGCATACTCTCAGATCTGTACTTTATAAAAATAAGGAGATGTGGTATGATTGCCAATGAGACAACTATCCACTAAAGTTCAAATGAAGTGGATATAAGCAATTTGTGTCTTTTGTGTTTTTGTTAAGAGTTTGATGAGTTCAGCCCTTTTTCAACTGATTTTTATAGTTTAATCTGATGTTATACTGTTACACCACTATCCCAGATTAGGGGAAGGGTTTGGCGCCAGCACAACCCCGCCACATTCTGTATGTGAATGTGCCTGTCCCAAGTCAGGAGTCTTTAATTCTGTGGTTGTCGTTTGTTGTTGTATGTCATATTTGTTTTTGTTTATTGTTTTGTACATAAATCAGGCCGTTAGTTTTCTCGTTTGGATTGTTTTACATTTGTCATTTCGGTGCCTTTTATAGCTGACTATGCGGTTTGGGTATTATATGAGGGGTAACACGGAACAGCAAAACAGTACCGTGTTTATACGGCTTTAACGGTTGGCAAAATTACCGTATTTGTCCTATTAGAATCGTAATATCGCTCTGAATAAAATAATCGAATATAAATTCCCAACCCATGGTTAAATGAAAACAAATCTAAGGCTGCCATGAATTATTTCTTAAGTATATCGAAGAATTCAAAGGTTTGTAAACAGTTCATTTACAATTATGACCATACCAATGATAATTCATTCAACACAGACTTGCTGACTACTCGGCTGGTGATACCCTCGGGAGGAAACCTCCACAAGCAGTGCAATCGACC